GGAGTGCAGTGGAGGATGGCCCAAGTGCCTGTGCCCTGCACCAGCATGGGAGACCGGGAGGAAGCACCTGGCTCCTGGCTTCGGATCAACGCGGTGCGCCGGCCGCAGCGGCCATTGCAGGGTGAACCAACGGAAGGAAGACCTTTCTCTCTGTCTCTCTCTCTCACTGTCCACTCTGCCTGTCAAAAAAAAAAAAAAAATACTACTACTAATAATAATCAGAAAAAAAAAACACTGATCCCAGGATCTTTTCAGTTAACTTCAATAATGATTCATTATGCAAATAATTATTAGGCGATGGCAACCAAAGCTACTGGAAGGAGACGCTCAGTGTGGCTCCCCTGGGAATTTCTCACCTGCATTCTGCTGTCTATAGGGACGGACCTTTCACGCTGTGACCTCAAATGCAGGTCCACTTCCTGGTAGAAGACCGCAGTGACGAATGCACAGCCCACGAGGGCAGGAACAATGTCTACTGATGTGATGAGGAAGTTCTCAAGGGAAAAAAACCTTACAAGCTGGATCCCAAAGGTCAAGTGGGATTCGGAAAGTGGAAAGGAGGTAGCATGGTAAGCGCACCAGATTTAAAAGGTGTGACCTTTCAGGGAACGGCAATGAAGATAAAGACATGGGAAGAGCAGTGCTGAGAGAGAAAGCAGGCTGAATCAGAAACTGCTGTGATCCACACCCACATTAAGAAGTGTGACTTAGATGTCATTAAATGTAAAATGTTTGTGTTTCAAAGGACACCATCAAGAAAGTGAAAAGACACCTTGCAGAATGGGAGAAAAAAATTTTAAGTCATGTATCTGATAAGGCGTTCGCATCTAGGATACATAAACAAATCTTTCAACAATAAAGACAACCTACTAAAAAATGGGTAAAGCATCTGAAGACAGTTCTCCAGAGAAGATACACAAACGTCCACTGATCACATGCGATGGTGTGCAACATCGTTAGCTACCAGGAAAATGCAGATCAAAAGCATAATGAGGTCCCCTCCCGCCACCCCTCCCCAGCCTTTGTGGCTCAACAGGTTAAGCTACCACCTCGGAAGCCAGCATCCCATAGAGCTCCAGCTGGAGTCTCAGCTGCTCTACTTCCGCCCCAGTTCCCTGCTAATGCACCTGGGAAAGCAGTGGAAGATGTTCCAAGTCCCTGCTACTCACATGGGAGACCAAGATGGAGTTTCGGCCTGGCTCAGCCCTGACTATTGTGGCCATCTGGGGAGTGAATCAGCAGATGGAAGATCTCTTAGTCTCTCTCTCTCTCTCTCTCTAATTCTGCCTTTCTAATAAAATAAATAAATCTGCCTGCAATGCTGGCATCCTATAGGGGCACCAGTTCAAGTCCTGGCTGCTCCACTTTTGATCCAGCTCCCTGCTAACGTGCCTGGGAAAGCAGGATGGCCCAAGTACCAAGTCCATGGTTCCTCCAGCAGTTAAACATAGTTACCATCTGGCCTGGCAACTTCACTCCTATATACTCACAAGAAATGAAAACCTAAGTTTGCCAAAATCCAGTACTTGAACATTCACAGCAACAACATTCGTAATAGCCAAAAATGGGAAACACTCAAATGCTCATCAACTGTTAAATGGATAAATATGGTAAATCCACACAATGGAATTACTCAACCAGAAAAAAAAGGATAAGGTACTATACTTGCTAAAACAGACATAAACCTCAAAAGCATGTTAATTATACAAGCTACACCACATGACTTCACTTACATAAAATGTCCAGAGGCCAGCACTGATGGTTAAAGCATTTGCCTGCAGCGCTGGCATACCACATGGGCCCTGGTTCAAGTCCCAGCTGTTCCACTGCTGATCAAGCTCCCTGCTAATGTGCCTGGAAAGCAGTGGAGGATGGCCCAAGACCTTGGGCCCCTACACCCACATGGGAGATCTGGAAGAAGCTTCTGGCTTCGGATTGGATTTGCTCTGGCATTGTAGCCATTTGGGGAGTGAACCGGCAGATGGAAGACCTCTCTCTCTCTCTCTCTCTCTCTGTCTCTACCTCTCTCTGTAACTCTTTCAAATAAATAAAATATTTAAAAAATAAAATGTCTAAAACAGGCAAATCCATACAACAAGTAGATTAGGGGCTGCCTCAGGATAAAGAGAGAGGGGGATGGTGAGGGAGGACCAATCCTGTGGGGTTTCTTTTGGGAGTTGATGAAAATGTTCTAAAATGGACTGTGGTGATAGCCACATAACTCTGTAAACATGCTAAAAACCACTGAATTGTGTGCTGTAAGTGGGTGAACTGTATGATATGTGAATTATATCTCAGTACATCTGTTATAAACAAAAAAGATTCCATTATACATTGCTGAAACACAAAGTGAATGCGTTGCATGTGGAATCTTGTTCACTCACTTTAGAGGACCTGAACTCGAGCAGTGAAAGCCCAGAGAGACTCTATTACTTAACATTCTAGGGACTGGGTCATACTGAAATATTCATGAAGAATTCTGTGTTTTCATACAAAAAAGGCACCTTACATTTAAAATGACGTGCTCACAACGTCAGAAAGGAGTTTCCATAACTCAGGGCTAGGGTACCAGGGAAGTCATCAAATGGAAAAACCAGCTTAAGAGGTTTTACCACGTGCATAAGAAAGTAGCACTCCAATATGCTACTGCCCCACCCACAAAATTATTATTGTTCCACCTCTGAAAGAGGTCAAAGGTAAAACTACCAACTAATATTTTCTAAAGTACCAGTCTGTGGCAAAAGGAATTGTTAAGAAGTGAATATTCTGCCATGAAGAACGGGCTCTTCCATATCCCACTTACTTAACTGAGAACTGATAATTAATCCTCTTGAATATTCCATCAGAGGCGTCAGACCCTCCTCCCCATGGCTGGAGTGGACCCCAGAAGTGACAGATGCCTTAAACATAAAACTTACATCAAAAATATTCAACAATGTTTAAAAAATGCTCTTTGCCAACTCTGAATCTAAACCTCAACGTAAAGACATAAATGCTGATTAGCACAACCTGCAGGCAAAGTAACAATGATCGTGAGAAATTCAGCATTGTGTGCAGTAATATTCACTGGCAAGTATATTAAAATCCACCAGGTTTTAATGTGTCTTCCACAAGTAATCAAAAACAAGCACGGACAAAGCACATTCCAGATCTGTCAGAAAAATCTGATTTTTATACCAAGTGTTGGTTCAATCTTCAGGACACATAACCATCACCTACCACAAAACATTTCACTTTGAGGCCGAAGATACAATACAATTCCCTATTTCCAAACTGTCAGGTGCAATGCTGACTATTAAGACTTCACACTCAAATATCATGACTTTGAAACAAACCCCAAACCAAAATATTAGTTTCCTTAAGTCAGCTTCTGAAATATATAGAATGAAATCCAAAACAGACTTTTGCCCATGTATTCGGTTTTATAGAGAATGCAAAAAGTAAATTAGTATTGAACAGATATCTATTTGTCTTCACCACTGAACAGACGGTACAAAGCAACTGCTCAGACTTAATCACGTTTCCGTCTACTCTCGCAGGCCCTGGGGTTGGGACAGAGTTCCGCCACATAAGGACAATGAGATGCATTATTATATAGAGTGAGTGAGAACCCCACCGTCTTGGAACGTAATTCCAGGCAAGAAGGCTGCGAGAAGAGGGCCCAATACCTTGGGCGAACTATTTCCTAAAGCACTATATATTCGCCGGCCGGGACCAGTTTCTAAACGCTGTCTTCTTTTTCAATGTCTTTTAAGAAGGAAAAAAGCCTTTGTGTCTTGCTCTCCTGGGGGAGGCTGAACAACTTGCAATTTGCTCCTCACTCTAAATCCCACGTTTGCAACATGTAGAGCAAGCACTTCAGGCACCACAAAACAAGGGCAGCCTACATTAAAGCCAAATATAGGATGTGATTCTAAACCACGATGCAGCGAGGTCTACGTTTCCTTTTCCAGAGCTCAAAACCCTTTGAACACTCCCAAAAAAGGACGGCAGGGCCAGCACCTCCCTGCCAGAGGAAGCCCCTTTCTTCTCGGCTCTCCCCGCAGCCTGCCACTTCCCCCAGCACGCCAGATCCTTGGAGAGACCCCGCGCCGGTGCGGGTGCGCCGGCGGGGACGGGCGGGAGGGCTCGGGTCGTCCACTGCCACCCGCAACATCTGACTTCGGCCTCAGTCGATTCGAGCCCCACCAGCACCCAGCGTCCCTGGCCAGCGGCTCCGCTGTGAGGGGCGCACATCTCTCAATCACCCAGCTCCCTCGGGCGCCCCAGGGGCCCCGACCCGGCCGGGTTCTTCCTCTCTCCACCCCACCCCCCACCCCCACCCAGCCGCCAGTCCCGGCGCGGCCACTTCCCAAGCCGCCCCCACCCACGTTGCTCCAGCGCTAGCCCTGCCCCGCCCTGCCTGGCCCCCAACCCAGACCTTTGGGGGCCCAAAGCCAAGCACCCCCCAGGCCAGCCGGCCGCCCTCGCCCCTCCCAGGCAGGGCCCAGCTCGCCCCGGCCCCACGTGAGCCCTGCCCCAGCCCACCCCCCACCCACCCACTCGCTCCCTAGGGCGGCCGAAACCCCGCCCCCGGGCCTGGCGCCCCGGGGCGCAGCGCCCTAGCCTCGGGGGCCTCTCCCCACCCAACACCGCACCCAACCAGGCGGCCGGCCTCCGACCCCCAGAAACCTTTCTTGAGCAGCCGCGTCCCGTCGGTCCCCACTCGGCCCACGGCTCCTCAGCCGACCAGGAAAGCCCTCCCCACAGGGACCCCGCCTCAGGCCCCCCAGACCAACTGGTTCTGTCCCCAACTCCCCTCCCCCCAGATCCCGAGCCTCGGGCAGCACCCCCAGCCCCAAGGCTCCGCGCCCCGCGCGCCCACTCCAGCCCTCTCCCCGCCACCGGGCCCTGCCCCTCGCCCCGCCGGCTCCTGTCAGCCGGCGCCGGCACATGCCGGGAGGACAGGTCCGCCCGCCCGGCTCGCTCCCGAGCGGCCCCGCCGAGCGCGCGCCGCTCACCAGGGCCGAGGTGCCTCAGGCGCCGCCGCCACCGCCGCCGAAGTCCCAGCTGCAAAGCCCGGCGAAGCCTCCAACCGCTGCCGCCTCCCGCCTGGCACTGAGCGCCGCGCGGGGGAGGGGCACGGGCAGCCGCCGCCGCCCCTGCCGCCGCGCTCCAGCCCCGCCTCCGCGCCGCGCCGGAGCCAACCAGGGCCGCGGGGCTGGGGCGCGCCACGCCCACTTCCGGAGGGGAAGCCCGCTTCCCACCCTCCGTTCCACGCCTCCGCCTCCCCGGCGCCCCCTCTGGTCGCGCTGAGCTGTGCAGGCGGGCCACGGAGGAAGGCGATGCCCAAGCTCACGCCCCGCTCTCCAGTTCTCTGAGTGGCTGCAGGGCCACGCCCACAGGCGCCTCCGAGCCACGCCCACTGCTCCTTAGAATCTGGAGCGGGGTTCTTAGAGCTCCGCCCACTGATTCCCCGGCTCCGCAAGGCCGGCTTCTCAAAGACGGTCCTAGAAACGCTAAAAAACTGGAACGTCAGTTCCTCCTAGCCCCGCCCACTGCCCGGCCAAGCCCTCGAACCCGCGTCCCGGCTCCCTAAGCCCCGCGGCCCTTTCATTGCCTCCCGACTTCCAGAAGCCCCGCCCACTGTCCCTCTGAGCGCTGGTCGCCCAGGCCACGCCCCGAATTCGCGAATTCCCGCCCCTGCCCCCTCGGGCGCGCCGCAGCCCTGCGCCCCCTGGCCATTGTCGCTCCCCGCGCGCGGCGGCCTCCGCGGGGCCGGGCAGCACCGCCGGAGCCTCCCGCTTACTGACCGAGCGCGTTCCGCAGACGAGGACAAATGGAGCCTCCGAGGCCGCTCCCTTCCTGCCCTGGCCAAAGTCCCTGCAATGGCTGGGCACCAGCGCTGCTGCTGCCCGGCTGCCTGACCCGGGCGCGGGCGCCCCAGCCCTGAACGTGGCAAGAGTCGCTCTGTTAAAAAAGCAGAGACCCCTTCTGCAAAGCCAGGCCCAGGGGCTGGGGTTCCTCTTCAGCATCAGCCTCGGAAAGGTAGATCAAGATCCGCTGGAACCAGCGCAGCTCTCCGGCAAATGACCCGTCCTCCCTAGGGCTCAGTTTCTGCGTCTGTGAAATGGGGATGACAGCAGCAGCCCCTCCCTCCCAGGGGTAGGCAGGTGCTGAGAACCGCGCCGGGCACCTTTGGCGCGGGATGCCAGGGGACGGGTCTCGTGTTGTCTCGGAGCAGCCCCTTCCTGGCCTGGCTTGCCGCTCGCTTCCTTGCGGTGAGATAAAGGTGGCCAAGTGACGCTGGAGGCAGTTCGCTGTTGTGATGAGCCCTGGCTTTAATTAAACAAAGCAGGTGGTCACCGCGGGTTTAGAGTGGTCTGGGAGGAGGAAGACACAAAAGGCTTGGCGATGGCCCGGCAGGCTGCTGAGTAAGCTGTTAGGTTCCGGACATTTGTTTGTGTGTCGCCTAAAGACCCATGTAGTGGGCGCTTCCCAGTCTTCTGTTTTTGTTTTTTCTTATTCTTATTTGTATGAAAAGCAGTGACGGGGGTGGGGGGGACTGTCCATCCACTTTCACTCCCCGAATGCCCACAACATCCAGGGCTGGGCTGGGGCAAAGCCAGAAGCCCACAAATGATTCCGGGGCTCCCACGTGGGTGGCAGGGGCCCAAGCACTTGAGCTGTCATCTGCTGTCTCCCTGGGTGCACTGGTTGTCATCTGCTGTCTCCCTGGGTGCACTAGCAGGGAGCTGGAATGGAAGGCAGAGCTGGACTCAAACCCAGGGGCTCAGTCAGGCATCCCAAGAAGTGTCTTAACTGCTGAACCACATGCCTGCCCTCCCACAGCCTTATGTTAGTGGATGAACATCAATGCTTAGTGGATTGAGTGGAGAAATGGGGCCGGCGCTGTGGTGTAGCAGGTAAAGCCACTGCCTACAGTGCCGGCATCCCATATGGGCGCCAGTTCCAGTCCCGGCTGCTCCACTTCCGGTCCAGCTCTCTGCTATGGCCTGGGAAAGCAGTGGAGGATGACCCAAGTGCTTGGGCCCCTGCACCCCTGTGGGAGACCTGGAGGAGTCTCCTGGCTCCTGGCTTTGGATCACCGCAGCTCCGGCTGTTGTGGCCAGTTGGGGAGGAAACCAGGAGTGAACCAAGAGATGGAAAACCTCTCTCTCTCTCTGCCTCTGCTTCTCTCTCTGTGTAACTCTGACTTTCAAATAAATAAATCCTTAAAAAGAAAGACTGATGTGATTGCGGCATCCAGGTAAGCCTAGTGGGACGTCTTTAGGGCACTGGAGCAGTTCTCCCAACAGTTCTGGCTATATAGACCTGAGTCAGGCCCAGTCTCTCTCTCTCTCTCTCTCTCTCTCTCTCTCTCTCTCTCTCTCTCCTCTCTCGCTCTCTCTCTCTCTCTCCTTCTGGGCTTGCCTGTGATCCTTCTTCCCCACACATTCCACCATGCATCATTCTTATCAGACACTGTGAACCCCCAAATGTGTACACCAAAATAACCCTTCTTCCTCCCTGAGTAGCTGCTCTTAGGTATTTTGCTTATAGTAACAAAAAGCTGAGTGATGCCCTGACTTACTCCTTGGAAACAGATAATATCTGCCTTTATCGGAGGTTTGTATATGTCAGGAACCATGTGACTGCTGTATGGACAAAGTCTTATGCAATCTCTGTTGGGAGAATTCTCAACTCCCAACCATGAAGGTGAAGAAATGTAGAGAGTCAGAGAAGCTAAATTACCTGTGCAGGGGCACACGACGTGAATCAGGTGGAACGCACAGCCATCTAATTGCAGACCCTACACTCCTAGCCAGTGAGTCGTTACTTTTAACTGCTTCCGTGGCAGCATAACAGAATTCAAAAACAAAACAAAAAAATAAAAAAAAAAAAAACAAAAACTGTGGACTTTGGATTCTACAGACTTGGGTTTAAAATGGGACCTCACCACTGACTCACTCTGCAACTCTGGGTGAGCCGCTTTTGCTCACTCAGCCCGACTCTCCTCATCTGCACAGTGAGAGTCATGCAAAAGCTGATTTCAGGAGGTGGTTCTGAAGAGTCGGGAGATCTGATTTGATGGATGAAGGCAACACAGTGCTGAGCACACAGTAGGTGCTCAAAATATGCTGACTTCCTCCTCCTCTTTCTTCTGTTTTTTTTTGTTTGTTTGTTTGTTTTATTCTTATCATTATTTTACTATTATTGTTATTTGAGAGATGAGAGAGAGAGGAGAGAGAGCTCCCAACTACTGGCTCACTCTCCCAGTGTTTGCAACAGCCAAGATGAGCCAGACTGAAGCCAAGAGCCAGGAACTCACTCACTCACCATGAGGGGCAAGCCCAACTACTTGAGCGATCACTGTTGCATTAGCAGGGAGCCAGAATTGGGAGCCCAGCTAGGACTTGAACCCAGGGACTCTGTTATGGGACTCAGGCATCTCAACCTGTGTCTGAACCACTAAGCCAAACACCCACCCCTCCTCTTTAGGTGATGGAAATAAAAATAAAATTTCCCATAACACCAGTCCCCTCTTGATAACAACACCACAGAGTACCAGAGAATGTACTGAAAAAGAAAAATCCCAAAGCCTTCTCCTTCCTGGTGCCTGTCTCAGTTTCCAGTTTTATCCCTGGGTTGTTGGAAGTGACCGCTGCCCAGGAAGCTTCCAAAGCTAAGAAGCAGTGCGGAGCCACCGCCTCATCCACACCTGCCCCAAATGCAGTCAGCCAGGAGCTGCTGCTCCCAGAAACAGCCGGAAAACTGCATGACCCTTTACTGGGTAACACCCCCTCCCCATCTCACCATTCTCGAACCTACAGCAACCCCTCTATGGGCCTGGAGGAACCCTTGGCTGTGTGTACATTGGCCCTAAAAGGAGGGATGTGGGCCCAGCTCAGATGCTGGATTTGAGACCCTTTTCCTGCACTCAAATGCTGATGTAATTTCCAAAGCGACCAAAGACAGATGCTAGATGGAGAGGAATTCAGTGATCAGGAAAAACAAGAGTGATTCCCTGTCGCTCCCCGTCTTCGTGGAGGAACAACACAGGACCCTGCGCTGTTCTTTCGTCTGCTCGGCCCTCCCCGGGTTTGCTGCTGGTTCTTCCCGGGTTGGCTACTGTCCCTTCCACCTCCGTGGAAGGGCGGTTCCCCCTGGCCACTTTCCCCACTTCCGCAGGGGAGCGGCACACCGCCGGCCAGCTCTCTCGGGGGCTGCACAGGTGTTCCTTCAGATAGATGTTCCCCCTAGATGTTCCTGGTGCATGTTGTCTCTCTCCTCCTTTATAGTCCTTCCACCAATCCCAACTCTGCTGCCCACACGCCGAGTACGCTGCTCTCCTCCAATCAGGAGCAGGTCCTGCAGCTTGTCAAGTTGGTGAGAGGCAGCTGGGTAGAAGCTGTTTTTACTCCTCTCCCAGCGCCATATTGTGGGAGAGCAGATGTATAGAATAAGTCTTAATTCCAGTAACTTAGTCTAGTCCGAGTTGCTCCCAGTTGCTCCCCACAATTCCCAGCCCCACGTATACACCTGCTCGTGCATGAAGAGAAAGAATCCTGGAGCCTGCATTCAGAGGCTCCTCCGCACGTAATTTTTCCGTTTTCTTTCAGTACCAAATGGAGACATTAGTCTTAGGTTGCCAGGGCAACCTGGAAGTAGATGAATTAGCCCTGTGGAAGCATTAACAAATAACAATAATATTAAATAGATGAGAGGAGAGACCGGAAGCCCCGAGAGTAATCTCAGTAGTCAAGACTGAATTGAGTGACTGAAGGGGACAAAGCTTGAAGAATCTGAAAATTCCCCCATCAGGGGTTGGGGGATGGGGGCTTTTGGTCTCACAGTTGGTGTGGGATGAATTAACCCTGTGCGTGCCCACACCCCACATCAGAATGCCTGGGTTCAGTTCTCCGCTCTGGCTTCTGGCTCCAGTTTCCTGCTAATAAGCACCCTGAGAGGCATCAGGGATGGCTCAAGTAGCTGGTCCCTAACACTCATTGGAAGACCTGGCTTGAGTCCCTGGCTCCAAGCTTTGCCACCCTGAATCTCCAAGCTAGGCCCCCCCCCAACCTCCAAGCTAGGCCATTGCAGTCATTTTGGGGCGTGAACTGGTGAATACAAGCTCGACCTCTCTCTCTCTCTCTCTGTCTCTCTCTCTCTCTGTTTCTCTCTCTCT